TTAGGAAGCAGCTCTGACTGCTAAATGAAGCTCTTAGTTTCAGTAGTAGGGGCCAAGCAGGAACATTTCTTACTTCGTGAAGGAAACAATGCAAATGTGTCTAGTTTGCTAATTTTTGTCTGATAGAGATTGAATTTCTCCAGAGGATACCATGGCCATGAAACCTGAACTATTTATCATGAACTCACTGCCCTACGATCCTGTTGGTCATATTTTTAAATTATCCTCTCCATTACTTTATCGTTGGATATAATTACCATATATGGAATCAGCTCAATTAGACCTAAAGATTCAGGAACATCTTAAGAACATCACTTGCTCCCTATCATAACTATTTTTTAATTTTTATTTCCTCTCTCAATCTGCACATATAGCCCATATCAAGTCTTGTATGACAGTTGACCCTGGGTAAAAAAAAAAAAGTCAAATTCCTTCAAAATTATTATTCCGTATAACCGTCAACATGTCCTGTGATGGCACTGAAGCCCCATTTAGGCATATCTCTCTAAGACAGTACAAAGAAAAACTAGTTAGTGAGAAAAACATCAAGCTGAACATTCAATTATCTGATTTTAGGGTGAAAACTTTAGCCAGTTGGTCAGGCATTAGAGAAATGGTGACAAGGAAATTTATTTTATTCGTTATATTTAAGGCTTCTGGATACTTACAATTTACAAATCCCAAAGGACTGCATTTACCACTAAAACTTTTCCATTCTTTCATTTTTCTTCCTTCCTTAATCTTAAACAGCCACATATTCATTGAAAAATCTTTTTTTTTTTCACATAATTCTACCTACATCTCTGTATCTCATCATTATTCGCTTTGTTGGTTTAATCCTAGCATTATTTTACATTTTGAACATCTTACATTACTTCTTAAGTAGCATAAAATTATCGTGGCTGCATAGTTAGATATGAATGACTCCAGATTAATCACAGCTGAGACATTTTTTCTTTGCATAATGCCTTGTATCATTTTCCATATTCTCTTATTCTGTTAGAGGTATGAACAGAAAACACAAATCTCTGGATTTCTCTGAATTTCATCATGTTAAAATGTTCTCTACACAAACAGTGCTATTGATTTTTTTTTTTTTTTGGAAAGGAAAAACTGTAATCTTTATGTTTTATTTAATTCCCAGATTGTACGACATCCTGAGGTCTTGTTATCTTACAGCCTGGAGAAAGAAGTATTCCTGATGGGCAAGTGCATGATGGGAATTCTATCTGACTAGGATGTTCTTTCCCCTGAACAAGGCCTGAATTCTACATTTGGATGGCAAGTGTTCAGTCCCTTTCTCAGAGCATAATGTAGCATTCTACTAGGTAACAGATCTTTTCTTCTTCTTCTTCTTCTTCATGTGCTTCAAACCTGATCCAAGCGCTCAGAGCCTTCTGAAGTCAAAGGAAGCTCTGCATCCAGAGAAATTCTGATGTCAGAGACAAACACTCTCAAAATAAATGAGATAGATGGAAAGAAATTTTAGTGGGGAAAGTGAGGTCAAACCCTTTTAATATATTGCCCTGTGTTGACATCACAGTGGTTGAGAGAGTTTTGTACACAAATCAGCAAAGCTATCAGTGGTGAAAAGGAAAGAGGTTAAAAAAAATAATAAACAAGAAGGGTTTCATAGGGTGAACTCTATTTGGACTATGAGTTCATGCATAAATGTAATAATTACCCTTTCTTGGTTGGAGATGCCAAGTTTGAGTCAATTAATAGTCAAAAGGCATAAAATCTCAACTTGGACTTGATATTTGTATTGGTTTTATTGTCTTATAGGATATTAGGAAGATTATATTCATTTAAATTTTTGCCATTAAAGATCCTCATCTCTAAGAATATTAGGACTAAGAATTATGGTGAATTTATCATTCTATGAACATTAAACTAAGCAAATCAAATTTTGCATTAAACTGCTGTACACTGGTCTCAGATATTTCCATCTAATTACTGACAAATGTTGCTAGTCTCTGAATAGCTCTCATGCTTAGGGGGAAAATGGTCACCATGCCAAGGTTAAATTACTTACAGATAACACACCTAAAGAGGCTATTTTATTATTGATCCATTGATGCCTGAACAGAAAGAATCAGGAAAAATTTATTTACATTTGGAGTATTTTATGAAACCAGAGAAGGATGTAAAATAGTCATGGTTTTCTAACTAAAATGTTAAATATAAATTGTCTGACATACATTAAAATTTACTTTCAAATATTAAGAGAATTTAAGTCATTCTTAGCACAAACATACTTCAGATATACCAGGAGAAACTTGTTTGTCCAAAAACATTTATTCCGCAGCTGTCTAATCCCCTACTTAACTATCAATCAGAAAAACTAAAAACACAGCTATAAAAATGAGGAGATGAGATTTAAGCTGCTAGGACTTCCTGTGATATGACTTTAGGTAGGAACAAGTTTATAGTTGGCTTTTTAAAATAATTGTGTTTCAACATCTTTCTATATGAAGTATATTGAAACTAAGCAAGAAGGTATTAAAGAGTTCAACTGTCTTTACCATCATTGTTCCTAAACTTCAATATGCCAACAGGAGAGTAATAGTGTCTGTCTGTCTCTCTCTCTCTCTCTCTCTCTCTCTCTCTCTCTCTCTCTCACACACACACACACACACACACACACAAACACACACACACACACACACACACTTTTATTCTATGGAAAATAGTCAATCCATTGTTGTAAATATAGGCTTTGATTTATAACAAAATGGTGCATAATCTTTTTTAATACCTATGTTGTTGGCATTTTTCACATGGTAAGGTACAGTTTATTTTGATTTAATCTGCACATTACTGGAAGGTACCCATGAAAAATATAAATGCTACCAAGGACACAGAAGGCAATTCAATCAAGAACAACTGGGTCAGTTCTGAACTTATGTCAAATTTGAATTTTTGAGCAATGAAGGTGGGGACATAATGGTTATTTTTAAACCTGCTCTTGTTTGAATGAGCAGCTTTGTTTTTATACTATAATAAACTTACCATAATCAGAATAAATCTTAGCTTTAAATTCAATTAAACAAAATGCTTGAGTATTTCAAGTTTAATAAAATCTTGCTGCAATTCTACTTAGAATTAAATAAAATTTTCCTGTTTCTTTTTATATTTTATCATAAACTTATATAACATTGAAATAAATGTTTCAAAGGAAAACAGCTATCAAAACCTTGACCCAGAAATATTCTCCACATTTTGTATTTCCATGGAGATTTTGGGCATGTCTCTACATATTTGCATACAGCAGCTATCATATTACATATGAACCTTTGCAAAGTACTTGTTTTCTTCTAGTCCACCTAAACTTCTCATCAGGTTCTCAACATTTTCAGGTAGGGAAAGGATACAATATTCATCAAGGTCCTTTTTTGTGCCATATACATAATTATAAATCTTATTTTACAGGAAGCTAAAATTCAGAAACAACCAATTAATAAATAATAAAATTAAAACTCAAGCAAAATGGACTCAAGGTCAAAGCTTTTGATGTATAGGCAAATGCTCTTAACATCTGACAGCCTTGTGGTCATAACTGTATTTGGGCATATTTTTTTCTGCTTTAAGAAGAAAAAAAAAATCATAGAACTGTACATTAGTCTTAATAGAGTTTGTTCTTTGTTCCATGAAGAATTCAAATAATCCTGATCTTGAGGCAACACAAAGTTTTCTAAATCTCTACAGTAAGAAGGTAATGCTTTCTACCCTTTTGTTTACTGCATCACAGTAAACTTTCCACACCTACTGTCCTGCTATTAGGCATAAGATATCCTCATCAGCAAGCTGAAGTAGACATCAGTTACTTTACAAAAGAAATCACAGCAGAAGAATAACTGGTGTACTAATATCAAGCTTGACAAGAAATATTTTCATAAAGTTTTTGCAGATCTGTTCTACCCAAAGTTGACCAAAAGGAGAAAGCACTAGGCTTGGAAATACAGCTTCTGTGTCAAATCTTTTTTCATCCACTTTCTGGACAGATGATCTTTCACAAATCTGTATCTACCCAACAGAAGAGGATAGATACAGAGAATGTAGTAGTTACCAAATTTTGCTGAACATTAGAATCTCCTGGGAAGCTTTTGAAAAACCTCTTCAGGTTGTAACTTATGGGAAGTAAATCAAAATGTTCAGGCATGGAATCCAGGTCTCAGTATTTTTTAAAACATTCACGTGATTCGAATGCACAACGAAGTTTGGGAGTCACTGAGGTATTTAATAAATTTACAGAGCTTCTTTTAAGATAAAGAAAAGTGGGGTGAAGCAGAAGTTTTATATTATATAATAGTTTATGAGGAGTTATAAACTATATCAAAACTAAGTACAGTGATCTCTCTCTCTCTCTCTCCCTCTCTCTCTCTCTCTCTTTTGCCAGAGTTGCAGGAACAATTTAACAGATTTGTTGTTGTTGTTGTTTTTGTTTCAATTTATTTTAAACTTCCTTCAACCTTATTTCAAACTTTTTGTTTCTTTTCCTTCTCTATTAAAAATTAAGGAAAAGTATCATCTGGACCATCATAAAGAAAATAATACGTCCAAAGTTACTTACTTCAATTCTACTTCTCATTTAAAAGAAACAAAAAAATACACTCCCAGATATTTTATTCCAATAGGCTGCCATAATATTTTTGAAGACAACAACCTATTTAGTAAATCTTTCTTGGCTAGATATTATTCACTGCCTGATGACACAAACTATTTCTCTGCTGTTTTAACTCAATGTGTTAGATTTAGCCAGATTATGCAGAATACTCTTTTAATACCATCATTTTTCATAAACATCTAATTAGATTTATGAAAAGGCTAATACCATTTATGTAATTGAACTGCAAATAAGATATTACTGCATTAAAAATAACTTCTACATAAACTTTGTTGTTTAACACAGTCCTTGATGCATCCATTTACAATAAAATTACACTACACTGTAACTGTAATCTGCCTCTTGGTTGTGACTCCTGTACTGGGACCTGTACCTTTGTGGGCTTGTTAATATCCATGCTCTCTTTGAATTTCTCCTGCATAGTTGCTGCAAGTTGACAGAGCAAAGCACCATTATCCAACTTCTCCATAAAAGTTTCTGCTGTGATCTCCTTCCCTGAAATAACCAAAAAGGAACATTAAAAAAGCATGATCATTTCCTAACAGAAATGTCAGATTTGTGCTAAAGAACATATTTTATACTAATATTTCTCACTAACATTTCTATTCCAACTGAGAATAGGATTTAACATAAAGAATGGTTTCTTAAGATAGGAATTGAACATAATAAATGGTTTCTTAAGAATTTCTACTATTGCATTATAGTGTACATAACAGTGGGGTTCGTTTTGCATATGCATACAGGGATGGAATATAATTTTTTCCACTTCAGTCCCAAGTACTTTCTCTTTCCTTCCCTCCTTTTCCCCCCTGTTCCTCTTCCTCCATTGTACTAATTTTCCTTCCATTCATAGCTTTATAGACATACATAAAGGTAAAATTCATTGTATTAATACATGTACATAGCATAATTTGATTAATTTCATTCCACAGTTCCTCCCTTTTCAGATTTTCATTTGGTCGCAGGAACCTAAATATTTTATGTTTTTATAATTAAGTTCTAACTTCATAAAAATGTATTTCAAATTAAAGGGATAAATGATATCCTGGGTGAAAGAGCCTCACCATTTCAGAATCAGGAGAAATGAACACCAACTAGTGAATGAAACTCGAAGAACCAGTTTTACCAGGGATTATACAATTTGGCCTCTCTGACTCGGTTCTCATTCTCAGAAGCCCATCCAATTACTGTGGCCCACAAAGGAAAACTGGTATTTTGTGCTAGAAATATATCTTCTTACAAGAACATCACATTTCTTTTTTTATTAAAATAAAGCCAGGCAATACAAAAATATCATCCACCATTGGCCACTTTAATAGCATTTCAATAGCCTGGCCAATGCATATGTTTGTCCATCTTGCTTAAGAAATTACAGGTAAAATAAATGCAAATGATAAATGCTGTAAAAAAATTATTTCCTTTTAAACTATTCCCCCTTCCTACTACAGCTCTCAAAGTGAAGAATTAATTAGGATCTGATCTCTGCTTTGTCCTTTCTCTCTTCACAACTGTCTCCACACCTTCAAGAACTGCTCTTACAAGTGAAGTTCACAATTCATTCACCACAACATTTAACTGAATCTCAGTTAAAAGCCATTTTTCTTTTTTCTTATATGGTCCCTGAAGCATATTCCCTTTCTTCTTCTTTTCTTTCACTTTGTAACCTTTATTGAGTTCACCAACTTTTTGTATATTCACAGAGTTGTACAGTTATCATCATAATTATAGAACATTTTTGTCATTCCCCATAGAAACCTTATACCCTTTAGTTCTCACAGCTGAATCCTCCATCCCCTAGCCAGATATATAAACCACTACTTGCATTCTCAAATGACTTCTCTAAAGCTCTCTTCTTTTCTTTACTCCTTATTTCTCTAAGATTTGGAATAATTTATTTTTGCCACCTTAATTTTCCTTTAACACCCAATTCAAAAATCCGGTAGATTCAAGCTGCCTTCTATTTCTCATGTCATAATCTTAATAAATACTTTTAAGATCTGATACCTAAACCTCCAGTAACAAGATCAATGGTTATTCCTTTTGTGCTCAACTTCTCTTTCCAATGCATACCACATTCACTGATAAATTAATATTACTAAGCATCACCCTTACTGGTTCATTATTCACTCTGACACATTTATTCCACATTTATTCCCTAGTCTCCTCCTCTACCAAGAATATGAAATCTGACATGCAAAGGTGAACTTCCAAGCCACCTGCTAGTCTAACATCTCTGTACTCTGTTCCACGGTCCACACTTTACCTTTCATGTTCCCATCAAAACTGTCTGTTTTTTCTGTCATGCTTCTGTTCCTGGCATGACCCTACCTTCAGTATCCTACCTTCCATCTGCCTGGCCAATTTCTACCTTTCTTTTAATCACAGTTCCAGAAAAAGTTTCTCCCAGAGCACAATGATCTGTTTTCTGTATAATTCATTCTCATGAATACCCTTTATTTGGATACATAGCAAACAGTTTGATTGTGAGCAACATGTTTCATATAAAGTTCTTATTTTCCACAATACAATGCAAACTTCTTGATGTCTGCCTTTTTCACTCTTCTACAGAGTGAGGCATGATGTTATTCATACAGCAGGCATCTAGTCAATGGGTTCCACTGATTGGTTTAATTAATAAATGGAAAGATAACATAACACACTGGGACAAAAGGGTATTATTTTTGTGCAAGTAGTCAGGTTGAAAGCAAAAAATAGAAAATATTTTAAAGTTTTATATTGAAGTGCTCATAGGGTTATATATATATATATATATTTCATCTTAGGAAAGATGCAGGGATCTCAATTCTACATACACTTAAATAGAACACAACTAGAACTACAGATTAACTATTGACTTAAACTGACAATATATGTATTTGTATTTAAAGAAACACCTGTTTAAAATGATTTGTGTCCAGTTTATTTTATTATTATTTTGTGTGTGTGTGTGTGTGTGTGTTTCTTTGTTTGTTTCTGGGGAAGGCATGGGGGAAGGATGGGTAAAGAGAGAACAACTACTTTTTCGTGTGTTTTCCTCCTTACTGGATAGTGCACATTTTCACCCATAGCTTGGGTAATGACTTCTGCAGGTGGCAAACCATCAGTAGCTCCCAGTTCTCAAAGGTTAGCCTTGGAAGAGCTGCTTCTTCTTCAAAACTGTACACAGCTCAGCTCACTTCAAAAATGAACACAGTAGTCTTAATATACAAAAAGTCAGCATAATAGATTGTACTGTGCATTCCCCATATCGGCCTGTATTTGCCAACAAGGATGGTATTGCAAACTGGCATGAAAAATTACTATTAGAAACAATTTCTTAAAATGTTTATTATGTATTCAAAAGCATTTAGATTTCATGATAAACGAGGTATAATGTACACAAACTGTTGAATGACTCTTTTATAAGATACTTATAAGATTTTCTACATTTGGAAGAGAAATTTAGAATATTCTTATCTCATGAAGTTCCATGGCAATTTAAAGATTCCATTCATATTTTTAGTGACACAATATTCTTAAACAAACTTGTAAATTATGAGAATAAAAATGGCTTTCATTAAAAAGCTATTAGCAATTTACCAAAAGGTATGATTTCTTTTTACTTTTCATACGTTATACCTAAAGATTTCTGGTTATCCAACATTTTATGAATACTAGAAGAAAGAATTTTACATTGAACATCTGTATCCAATGAAAAATATATTAGGTGTCAACTTTCAATTCTGTATATTTTATAGCTTGGAAAGGTGGGATTTTTTTTTTTTTTTTTTGGCTAAAACAGAGACAGTTACATACTTTATAGCTGAAATGTACTGCCTCAAATGAAGGAAAAATGTGAGACTGCAAAGTTAACACACAAAAAACTTCATTTGTAATGTATTTTCCATCCAACTATTAAGAAACATTAAATATGCACTTAAACGTACTATAATTATAAGAAATCAGTTATAATCTTTATGTGAGATAATATATTACTTTACTCTTTATTGCATTACTGTTACTAATAGTACTTAAAAGAAAACAACAGAATATAAAATTAGTTGAGTTTAACCATAACAAATCCATAAGAACAGGCTATGAAGAACCAACTGCAATTTATCAAGAAAAAATCATGCAAAATTTAAAAATCTCTGCTAAGCAGAATCAGATCTTCTTTAATCTAAATCACATTTCAGATTATTAGTATCAGAAACAATGTGATTCTAAAACCAGACAAATATTGCTTTTCTAGTTACATCCTTTCCTTGTAGTTGACAAGTTTAGGAAAATAAAGGGCAATGAAGAAATAAAATTAAATCATTTTGTACTAATGAATTGCAACTGGGTTGTAAAGACCATTGATTTGAAGTTTAACCTGAAATATGCTAGTCTAGAAGTAATATCTTCTACTCTTGCACTCATAATTGTAAACCGTGATCTTTACAGCATCAATCCAGTCATGATTGACAGCTGGACAATAGAAAAAATAGGGAAATTGATTTAATATTGTGATTAGTCACTTATATTAAGGCTCAGTTATAGGAAATAAACATCTGTAAGAAATATTTATTAGGCAAATAATAAAAATGTATGTCCATAAGCATCAGTGTATTCCTTCCAGAAATATGTTTGCCATAATTTTCATAATGTCTATCAATCTATAGAATATTTTAGACTGAAGCCACCAAGTTAAAATTCATTTACTCTTCTCTGGTCCTAAGAAGAAATGTTTTCCTCTTATAGCAGTACTTAATTTTTACAGATATGACCACACACCTAATAATCCCTTGGGTATTATGCATCAGGCACTGTTGTAAGCAATTTACTTGTACTCATGTTCCTGTTTTTAATCTTCTTATAAAACTTGGAGTGGGTGCTATTATTTTACAGATAATGAAACATAGGTGCGAAGATTAAGTAATTTGCCTAAGTCACCCAGCTCAGAGAATAATCTGGCTCTTTGACCCAGTCAGTTCAAGGTCATAGTCTATGCTCTTAGCCACTATGCTTCACTACTTAAATATTTGCTGAATACACAAATGGCTATTTCCTATAACAATGTATTCTCATTAATGTGATTGTCTTTTTCTCTGTAAAAACACCCCAGAAAACTTTTCAGGAAAAGAACAGTTTGGGATTAAAGACGATAGTGCTGAAAATGAATAGCAGCCTACTTGACAGTCTGTAGAATTCAGGAATGCTCTGATAGTTGATTTGATTTGCTGCAGAAGAAAGCTGCTATGTTGTAGCCTCTAGGAATGATCTGATTATTATACTATCAAACTCTACTTCCATCTCCATTGTACCCCTCAATTATAACTTATTTCTCTAGTTAAAGAACTCAAACACATATTATTTTCTGTCTTAGCCCAAATTATTTCATATTTTTAAGACTGATTTTTGAAGATTGTGAGATTGGAAATAACTCATTTTACCCAGAAACCCTAGGCCAGTGCCTATGCAAGCTGATTCACAAATGTGTATCCTGAATTTATATAAAATGCATATATACTTTC